CCAGCTGGGCAGTTTGTCCCAGCCCTAATCCCTCCCTTCCCCCCCCCAACAACAGATTTACCAGCTGGAGGCAGCTGTCAGCTGCCTGTTTAGTCTATGGTTGAATCTCCAAATCAGCCAAATCTTTCAAAGTTTTTCCAAATAGATTCAGATGCTTTGAATCAATTCAGAGCTTTTACTTGGTCTTCTGACTGAATTTTTGGATTCGGAGATTTGGCCCCTGAATCGGGCTGAATCTCCTCCAAATCGAAGCAGCTACTGAAGTGTCACACAGCCCTATTATTTGCTCTGCTGGCTACAGCATCGCACTGCTGGCTCGTGTTCATTCTATGGTCAATTATTACCCCCCTCTTGTCACTCTCCTGTCTTATGTTACTCTGTTTTCTTATTATAAACTGCCCTGAGCCTTTGTTAGGAAGGGCAGCATATAAACTGAATGAATAAATAAATACTTTAAGGCACCGTTATCTGCTGGAGTGTTGTCAAGGTTTCTTTGTATAAATGAAAATGACTAATTTGGGTTTAATGCTGCATTATATTTTTTCCAACATGTAAGAACATGGGATACAACAGTACTAGAGTATGGACACTGTGTCACACTAGATGTAGAATATTAGCACTGTGATTTGTATAAAAATGTTTGCCCTTGGGCACGCTCATTTTGCTGGATTCCAGAAAGGATGTGTCTGATAACTTATTGAAGAACTACTGCTGAGAAAGCATCTGTAGGGATGTTGTCCCCTTTCCCCCAGCACAGGGACGATTAAAATCACAGAAACATTTTTTTCATGGCCTTACCTCAGGACATGGCTTTTTAAATAAAAGAATAACCTGTAAAAGGCAATCCAAAAGCTGTTATTCTGACCAGCACAAGGTACAGAGACTCAGAAGCCTTTTGCCCTGTATCTTCCTCTTCCATGGCTTGGGCACAACCAGTGAAAGAAGGCTAAAATTGCAGATTGCCATGGAGTAAGAACATGTACACAAGCAGCTACCGTGGAACAACTGACAAGCTACAAATCCCCAGCTTAATTTACCTCCTGAAAATTTGCTCATGTGCATATATCCCCTTCCTCTCAGATCAGGAAGGAGAGAGGCAGTAGAGCAGCAGATAGGTGGGGAACCAACCAGCAGGCATTGGGGAAGTCCCTGTTCCCCCATGCACTACCAGGAGTGACCAGGAATAACAGTCACAAGCTGGCAGAGGGTAGATTTAGGCTAGACATCAGGAGGTGCTACTTCACCGTCAGGGCGGCTAGGATCTGGAACCAACTTCCAAGAGAAGTGGTGCTGGCTCCTACCTGGGGGTCTTTAAGAGGAGGCTAGATGTACACCTTGCTGGGGTTGTTTGACCCCAGTACTCTTTCCTGCCATGGCAGGGAGTTGGACTCAGTGATCTGCTCAGGTCCCTTCCGACCCTAGAAACTATGAAACCTTCCTTCTGCAGCATCTCTTTCAACTGAGTTCTCTCAGTCTTTTTATGGCAACACCTTCTCCTTTTCTAGCTAGGTCTATTAATCAAATAGGACTGGCTGGCCTCAGTTTTCTCACCCTTAAAGTGGCAGAACACATTGTTACACCAAACAGACTTTAATATGGAGTCACTGGCTTGGACTTTTTCAAATACTAGCCCATATGCACGGAAAAATGGTTTCTCTGCAGAAGGGCCTGCTACTCAAGGAGGGGCTGAGTACAACAGGAATGAAAGTCTGGAGCAGGGATAGGTAACCTGTAGCATAAGTGCCATGGGCAGCCTCTGTGTGTGGCATGCAGCAGATCAGGAAGGGGAGAGGCAGTAGAGCAGCAGATAGGTGGGGAACAGAAGGCAGACCAGGAGATCAGGCAGATGGCACAGGTCAGGAAAAAGAAAGAACAGAATATTTGGGCAGGGAGTACAGAGCACTGGTTAAAGAAAATCAAAAGACAAGTTCACAGATATTGAACTGCCCCTTAAAAGTTGCTTTAGGATGGGAAAGAAATTAAAATATGGATGTACATGGACCATTATGGTGTCTTAATAACACAAATAGAAAAAAATAAGGCATTAGCCAAATGTTGTTAAAAAGGGTATCTACAGTTAGGCACCTAAACAGAAACCCTGATTTTCGAAACCACTGGCCACCCAGCCTCACCTAAAAAGTGTCCTTTTTAAAAAAACCAGATTTTTAAATATGGACTTGAGAGCCTAACCCTTGCCAGTCATTTTTAATGTTTTTTGCTTTCATGTTTGCAGGACAACCAATTAGTAAGAGTCCAGCATACTGTATAGAGACCCAAACATAATGCAGTGACTTCATCAGACAAACCACTAGTAACATCTCCTCCCCTCAACTCTATATTCCAAGATTCCTGGAGAAACGCTCCTGAATGTCTTAATTCTACACTACCAGAGAGCACATCTCATATATGCAACACACTAATTAATAAAATAGGCCACAGCCTTATCTGAGGTATCTAGATCCACTGGTACTACAAAAAATGGTATAAACAGCAGGCATGTCTACATGTGCCCCTGACTATGCATTTGGTACTGCACATTTGGTACTAAATGTTTTGCTAAAGCAAGTACTAAATGATTGCGCAGTACCCACCGGTACTGCGCGGTCCAGGATGAGCATGGCTATTTTTAGATGCTAGGTTGTCGTAGCGATGAGCTATGGTGACGTAGCTTATCACTGCCATGATCTAGCTTTGGCACCACGGTTTGTGCCCACTGATGCTACATCGCCATAGCTTGTTGTTATAGTGAGAGAAAGCCTCCTGTAGATGCATCCAGTGTTAACAAAATTTGTCGCAACAGGGGAATATATAAGCATGTACTGTACTCTTAAATGAGTACGCTGATTCATAAGAACAAATTTGTTGTGCCCTTTACAGGTTAAGTAAACTTAATATGTCACTGAGAAATACTTAAGATTAATCTAATTATGTTAAATTATAAAAAGCTTGTACATTAATAGGTAAAATGTGATGATTGGTATTTTTCTGGAATATTCCAGCCTACAGAATGAAAGTTTAATTAATATGCATGTGAAAAGATTCAGAATGATCCCTACTCAATGCTTACATTCCCCAAAACTGTGCAAACACAATATGCCCTCACCTTGAACAAATAGTGTAAAACAAATACAATGCCTAGTCGAGTTTAAAAGGTCAAAAGGTAATTCTGGCACCATCACCTGAGGAATGAATCTTAGCTAGTTTTACTAATGCTTTTAGAGAATCATTTCACAGAATCCTGTGCTATATGTCAGCAAGATCCTTGTCGATATTTCAAAGCTTCTACCAATGAAGGACCTAAGGACAGACTCACCTGTTCTTGAGTCATCATCTGCAGTTCCTTCTCCCAAGCTGCCCGGTCATCATCCAGGTTGTAGGAAGCAGGTGGGGTGAGTCCACGCAGAATCATGGGGTCACGGTCATGGCAGAGGGCTGTCAGGTGTCCAATGTATAACTTCAATTTACTGCGATTCTGGTCAAGTTCTAAGAGGGGTTGAATTATCTAAAATAAGAACAAGAAAAGTCAGGGACACCCTGAGACTCAAACAACTAGGAAGTCAAAGATCAACCCCCAAGTCAGGAGTGTTCAACTGGCAACCTGGGGGTTGCATGTGATGCATGAGGCATTAATCTGCATTATGTATTTGGACCCCCTCAGACTGACAACCACCTAGAACCTATGTTTCACTTCCAGGGTGGGTACTCTAGGCTACTGTGTGAAAAGCTGGATCTTCCTCCTCTTCATCCCAGGGGTTTCAGGCTATGAACCCCTGTTTCACACAGGTGCCTATCTGCAGTCCTGAATTCAATAAGTAAGCGTGGGAGACAGGTGGGATTCCAGATAGACAGATACGCTCTTCCACACTTCCAGTTGGCTGCCTTTTGTGTCCTTCTGCTTAGCATACATAACATGCTGAGAATTGTGAATCCCAAATCCTAGGTGGCCCAATCCAAGTCTCCCCATTTAAAGAATAGGGAATTTAAATGACTAAATTGTGAGTTCCACAGACAAATCTAGGCACCTAAACTTTAGGTGCATGACTACTCAGCACTGTCGCACCTAAGTCACCTTTTAGATTTAGTTCCTGGTAGATAATCAATAAACTTCCTGTTTGCCTTGTTTTCTCTTTCAGATATTTGATTCTGTTGGATGGGATGTGTGGATTTCAAGCTGAAAGTCAGTATCACTATCATTCTTAAGTACGGTCCTCTGTGATAAAGGAATAGTAGACGGATAAAGGTAGAACTATCTTACTGGCGTTTATAGAGGCTCTTATTTATGCAAGGAAGCTGAACTGGATTCCTCGAGCACTAAATTCCCTGCAAAACAGAATTAGTTTTGGCACATCCCTTCTTATGTTAGGAAGGGGTGTCCCTCCCCTTTTTTGGAGATTAGCGATATGAAGCGTGTGAAAGCTCTTAACTAGCAGAGCTTCCAGAACTGTTCACAGAGCAATCATTTCTCTCACTTGGGACCCATTAAACCCTGCCAGTCAAGTAGGAAATGCCCTTTTATCTGTGTTCCTTCCATATCTAATTTGAGCTGGCCACTTAGCAAAAGGCACTGTGCTTCCCACACAGCAGAGCTGCCACTACCTTATCTCAAGAGGGTGCAAGAGCACTTGCCAAGTGGAAAGGAGAGCAGAACTGGCTTTATAAGCTCAGTCACGTGTCTGTACACAGCTGTAGAGCTTTCCAGGGAAATACTAGACAAACTAGCTTCCCTCAAGGCATAGGAATATTTTTCATCAGAACATGGAATAGAGTCTGCTTAAAATACCGTCACGCTCAAAACATGGTTAATGCACAGTTAAGGTTGAAGATGTATTTCATCTAGCAAAAGCAATTCACTACAATGCTGAAGTGAAAACATTAAATGCTTGACAAGTCTGACATAAAGGCAAACCATGTTGAAATTACCATCTGATAAAGAAATGTGGGAATGTATTTCAAAACAAATTTGACTGAAAAAAACTTATCCAAAGTTCCTGAGACTTTCCAGAAATGTTTATCTTGGGAAAGACTGAGCACAACAAATTTAGTTCTAAGCATAGTTTTGCAGAAATTAGAGAGGTGAAAAACATAGCTTAAAATTAAATAGCCGCTGTTGCTTTAATTATGGAATTGCTGTTGCTACATAATGGTCAACTTATTTAATGGCTGTATTTTGGTAAAAGCTTGACTTAAACTTGAAAGATGTGGAGCATGGATAATAAATGATATTTGTACTGACTGGTTGGACAGACCTATCCAAATGTCTGGCTATTTCTTTTATTAAGAGAGAGATCAATGCATCTCAAGTACGGAGACTGTGGTGTTCAGATGTTGGTCTGAGTGATGTCAAACATGAATATGTAAAAACATGTAGGAGTGTGTGCGACAGTGAGCACCAGGGGATGGGTGGTATGAGTGTAAGGGAATGTAATTTGTGGCAAATATGATGATGATAGTCTATAAATGTCTGAAGGACGAAGAATGGTTTTATGTGATGTGTACCAGCACTCACTCATCAGAACCTGGCATGTTGTTCAATTGCAGAAATACTGTTTTCTGGAAGAGTGTGTATGTTTTTTGTCTGTGTGTGTTTGGGTAGGAGGTGCAACACAGAAAACCAAAAACAACTAATAGAATTGTGTTGCTACTGCCAAGTCAACATACTCTGCTAAATCCATACTTGTTACTGGCAGAAGTGTTATAAATATTCCTCCAGTAGCTTAGCAGTCTTTCTGGGGCACACTATAGATAACACTGAAATACTGATGGAGCTAACAGTGCAGATAACTGGCTTTCAGTTTCATGATTAAATAATTCATTGAAGTTATCTCAACTCTGCCATCAAGTCACAAGCTTGGGGAAAGTTAAATTAGGAAAGAATAGACAAAAATAAAAGAAAGGGAAATCGGGATATTTTCTGGAGATCAAATAAAACTAAATGAGGTCAAAAACACCATTGTCTATCTGTCCTGAGAAGCAGAAACAGGAAACTAAATTGAGAAGGAAATAAGAGTTTTCCAAAGAGTAAGGCTGTATGACTATTCATAACGCATCCTAATGTGGCTTCCTATTCTGGATTCTGGACTAAGTCCTGCTTGATGGTTCCTGTTTGGGTTTGATCAGCACATTATCCACAAAACGAGTTCCAAAATAATGAAAAGACCTGACATGGTGCATGGCTCAAATGCAATCAAGCTGAGGTTGGCCACCTGAAAACAGCCTTTCCTACGTCAGCACAGGTATGAAAACATGTGAAATAATTTGCAGCCCCAGTTTTTCAAACCTTGCTTCAAACAGATACAATGGTGCTGCAGCTAAAAATGTACTCCCCAACCCTATCACTGTGCACCAGGCAGACAGGACTGAGGCCACTGAATGTCTAACAGTCCAAGCTACTTGACAGGAAAAGCTGCTTGTTAAAAAGCAATTAAGATGCAAAAGGACCTAAAACAGGTGCCGGTGAGACATATAGATGGATGGAGAGCTTGGCTGATTCCTGGATTTTCAGAGAAGATAAATGCGTATATGATTTCATAGATTCATAGATGTTAGGGTTGGAAGGGACCTGTATAGATCATCGAGTCCGACCCCCTGCATAGGCAGGAAAGAGTGCTGGATTCAGATGACCCCAGCCACATGCCCATCCAACCTCCTCTTGAAGACTCCCAGGGTAGGGGA